GAGGTAAGGCACACACACCAAGTGTTCAGGACATTGTTAAGACAGCGAAAATCAAAGCTGACGATCTCTTGGTTTGATATATTTTCTCCCCCAGACAACATGGACATAAGAACATTTTTTTCAAAGAAGAGGAAAGTAAGTCATCAGCTGGTAGCAGTTAATCAGTTAACAGTGATGGCGGCGGCAAAAGCGTCTCACTTCTTGAGAGGAGTTTCGTCTTTATGTCATGATAGAGAGATACAAATACTGAATAGTTTAGATGAGAAAAGGCATCGAAATGCCAGGTTACTAGTATTTATCATGTAAACATGGAGGCGTGTTGCGCAGTGGACAGAGCCTTGGTGTTGGGATCAGGAGGTCACATGTTCAAACCCCACTGCAGTCAGCATGTCGTTGTGTCACTGGGCAAGACACTTCACCCCAATTGCTCCTGTGGGGATTGTCCACAGTATTGAGTAAGTCGCTTTGGATAAAAGCGTCTAACATGTAATAATAATAATAATAGTAATAAACAGGGAACATGAATAACCCGATCTCACTGTGCTCATGTAAATGTTACCGGTCTCAGGATTGGGATCTGAGACGGCTGAGAACAATGACAAGAAGTCACACACGTTAGCGCATGGAATGTTCTGCTTTATTCAAAATCATAAAATATATTTATATAAATAACATAGTTCTTTATGTTTCTCAAGCACATATAGAATTAATTAAAACAGTAAACTCTGAATTGAAATAAATCAACTTAAATACATGTGTAATATTCCCTTTTCTTTACACAATAAGTGAATTATCTCTATATTGTGCATATATACCTTTGTGGTGACCACCTTTAATACACTGGGTCATAATTCACACACGGAACTGTGGGGTAGGGCTATTGTTCCCACACGGACATGTTTGTGTTTACTATATGTTGTGTGCCCTCCTGACTTCACTCTCTCTTCTTCCCGGGCTGCGACCCAACAACATCTCTATATTTGCTCCGCAATAAAGTCCCCTTTTTACACCATCATTGCACCGCCTCCGACTCCTATCTCTCGGCANGAAGTCATGTGACCGTACTGTAGTTCCTTTATAGCCCAACATTAGCCACCTTTAGCTTAGCGGTGGTGACGTGAAGTCATGTGACCGTGCTGTAGTTCCTTTATAGCCCAACATTAGCCGCCTTTAGCTTAGCGGTGGTGACGTGAAGTCATGTGACCGTGCTGTAGTTCCTTTATAGCCCAACATTAGCCACCTTTAGCTTAGCGGTGGTGACGTGAAGTCATGTGACCGTGCTGTAGTTCCTTTATAGCCCAACATTAGCCACCTTTAGCTTAGTGGTGGTGACGTGAATTCATGTGACCGTGCTGTAGTTCCTTTATAGCCAACATTAGCCATTTATAGCCCAACATTAGCCGCCTTTAGCGGTGGTGACGTGAATTCATGTGACCGTGCTGTAGTTCCTTTATAGCCCAACATTAGCCGCCTTTAGCTTAGCGGTGGTGACGTGAAGTCATGTGACCGTGCTGTAGTTCCTTTATAGCCTAACGTTGGCGTTTTACTTCCAGAAGCATAACGTGGTGTTGACTTGATATGTGGAGATTATCCTGCTTAACTAAACATGAAAGTATCATAAATGTGTATTTGCTACAGAGATTATTTTCTGCAATAATCCAAAATCCAATGGAAATATCCCAGTGACTTTTTGTCCAGGGAA